TTGAATTGGAGGAGTGCCTCCTCTTCATCCGCGGACAATTGCGAATTCGAAGGAGGATCTGTGATTCCAACAGCTTCAAGGCTCCAAAGCGTCTCTAACGCCTTCGCCGCCGCTGTTCCCGTCGACGACTGACGAGACGAGAGTGCGGCAGCACAGCAGACGATATGAGTTGCAGTGACCTTTCCTTTCACATGACCTTGGTCGATAGGAAAGGATCCACCGATTATCCATCCCAACCGCGATGGATGAGCCAGGATGTCATCCACGAGGAGCTCCGGCGGCTCGCGTTCCATTATCTTGTGCATCTGATTCATGCCCACGAGGAGGGCTGGTTGCATACAGGCCCACTCTCCGAGGTAACTTCGATCAGCCAGCGGCTTGGCACGGTCGAACTCAGCAAGAGCCCGCGACACTGACTGGGAGCAAGTGTTCTGTGGGTTGACCCCGAACTGGTATTCATGTGCGAAGATTTCGATCGGCGGTCCTCCCTTCACGCTAACGATTCGTATATTGTACAGGGGAGCTTCCCTAGTCGCCAACGTCGACGAGAATGTCTGGATGGTAAGGCTGCTCACTCCCACGGGCGCCTCCCGCAGCATGGCACGCAGAGATGGCAAAACCACTGTGAGCGTGCTGCCTGGGTCCAAGAAGATTCGGACGGGTATCTTCACTCCACAATTTATCACATACGCCGATGCCGTCAGTAGGAGGGCACCCGTGTCGGCGCTAAGGCCACCCACCGTTCTGTCCACAGCAGCCGCAGTGAATGCGTTCGCCTCACTCCCAGAGTGCGCGATGGCAGACACAGATGCGTCGGGATGCATCGACGAGTAATGCTGTCGGGATGAGCACTTCGAGCACGGGGCCCTCGGGCCGCGACACTCGTCCGAATTGGCATGTTGTGTTCGGAAACACCGCTCACAGCGACGCTGGAGTTCCAGTATCTCCTTCCTCTTAGCAAGAGAAAGGCCTGCGTCGCACCGTGATGTGTTGTGTTCAGCCGATCGGCAGAACAGGCAGGGTTTCGGACGGAAGCGCGCACCAGCTGACACGTTCGATTTTGGCACGACAGCGGCGATTGTGCTTCTTGCGCGACGTCGAATGTCTTTTGTATGGGATTGGCGCTCGGGAGCCTCACCTATGATTGGAGGGACGCGCTCGTCCAGGTACTGATTGTCTTCCCAGTCGCGAACGCGCTCGCGAAGAAATTCAATGAGGTTTCGAATATCCGATGCCGCCTCAGCTGATACAGAGCCGACGTCATTCTCGCTGTTATTGTTGAGAACTGTTGTTGACGTCTGCTCCTCGGTTGTCATTGAGCTCTCTCGACTGCTACTTGAGAGAGAGAGGAGTCTCTTCTCAAGACGACGGGAATCCTTGTACTCTTGTCGAAGACGAGTCGGTATCGCGGCGTCGATGGCTGATTTGAGGGACAGCGCAAAATCGTCCAGAGGGATTCCATTCGATGCGAGGGTCGCGATATTAGTCTGGAGAAGGGTTAGAAGATTTCGCAGCGCCGGGAGATCGCTGTAGCGGTGAACTCGGGGTAGATTCCGAAGCTCTGATAGAATTCTTTGTTTGTCATTCTCGGTGCGAGCGTAGTTCTGGTGGAGCGCATCGAGCGCGACCTGGTAATTTGAGTCTGTAAGCTCGAGCGCATGGACGATCTTTCCGGGCGCACCAGACACGTATTTTCTCAGGACCATCAATTTCTCGACGGGTGAGGCATCCGGTCTTTTCGCAACGAAACACGAAAACTGAGTGATGAACGCTCGAAACTTGAGCCGATCACCCGAAAAGACTTCCGGCGAGATGTCCAATTCGCGGGCCAAACGCGTCGTCGGTGCAGTCGGCACCGCGTGCGGGGGCTGCCGTCGTGGTACGTCGTTTTCCCCTTCAGCTTCACGAACGTGACGGGGAACACTCATCGTCGAATTATGGGTCGGTCTGAAACGCACCTGTCGTGTGGCCTCGGGGGTTCCGTAGAAGGTGGCGAGCTCGCCCTGCTGGAACTCTTGCGGCACCGTCGGGGATTCCCCCTGTGACTGCTTGGAGATGATCGCCCTAATAGCCGCAATGCCGTCATCGATTTCGACGTTGAATTCCTCACTGGCCGTCACATCGGCTTCGATTTCCTCAGGCGTGAGAAGCGCCAGAATCTCGCGATCGAACTCACGAGTATTCTCAATGTGCTGTGTCATGACGATCAAGAGCTCCTCGGGTCGCTTGTCGGCCCGGAACTCGGGGTTCTCCGAATGAAGATTCGTGACGCTGTCGAGATCAGCTCGAGCTCGATTGCGTCGAACTGTTCTTTTCGTTCTTAGGGTCTTGAGTTGCCGTTTTCTTGCTTCCTCTTCGGCCATCTCGGTGATCGTTTGGATGAGATGTCGTTTCCCAGTCGGACTTTCCACGAAGACGAGTTCACAATCCTGGCCTACGGCACCATGTTGTAACTTGTTTGTTGTGATCGGACGGAACAGATTGTCTGCCGTGGAACTCTACAGCCTGAGTTTTGAATGAGGGAACAGGTGATTTTTTGGTGAAATCACGAGGCATGTGCTCTACGCGAGACCGCGCTGTACGAACTTGTTTTATTCTTAGTTTTGTCTGCTATCCATGGGATCGGAACGCGCGCGAGGTTTAAATTATGAACATTCTTGACAGAGTCCCTGTCAACCTGAATCCAGCGGCTCAGCGACGGGGACCGCCAAGCGGTGAAGCTGGGGCGCCAGCGGAAGCGCGACAGAACGGACCGATCGTCGGAAAAGCTGTGGCGCCAGCGGGAGCGCGACAGAACGGACCGATCGTCGGAAAAGCTGGGGCGCCAGCGGAAGCGCGACAGAACGGACCGATCGTCGGAAAAGCTGGGGCGCCAGCGGGAGCGCGACAGAACGGACCGATCGTCGGAAAAGCGGGAGCACCTCTACGACCCATGCCCCCCAAGAATGCGCCTGGAGTGCCACCCAAAGCAGCACCCGAAGCGCCCGGCCAACGTCGACGAGGATGACGACAGCACCCAAGGAGGAGCTCGTGGAGCGAAGGTAGATTCTATGAGCGAGCTGAGGGGGGGAATGAATAAAATCTGACTGTTTGTGGAGAAGAAACAAAAGTTGAGAGCTCTCCGGTGGAGCTTTCTCATTCTATAAACTGTCACTAATTGACATTGGATATATTCCCTAAGGGTAAAGCAGTTCTTGATGACCGATCCGGTTGCTCACAGATGGATCTGGCCCATCAGGCGGAGTCTCGTCGATCATAAGGTTCTCGATTGTCTTATCGGTGATCACCGATCGCCTGTCTAGTTCAAGCTTAGGTCGAGTGGATTTTCATCACATACGACGGAAACCGCCGACTCCATAATTCTCCGTAACTCGAACTGTCAGACCTTTCGGAAGAACTGCAACCGGAGGGGAGCGCCGTTCCGAAAAGAGACGCTACCGGTAAGAATGCAAGCCAAACATATCACGTATCGCTTCGACCGGGGCGTCTGAACGTCGCGTCTTGTGCGCTGCAAAACGGGGTCTTCTGAAACCTCCAGGTCCGACGGTGTTCCAGAGGGATTTCCCGGAGCATTCGAATTTTCAGCCCACCAATCATCGGGATGTGAGCCCCGCTCCTCTGACTCCGTTTCCACCGAGCCTCCTCTCAAATCGGCTGTCGTTCCGCCCTGCCTCGAGCGGGATTCGGTTTCGAAAGTTTATCGCGAAAGTGTGGCGAAAGAGAAAAGACTACAACATATTTCGAGAGTTCAAGCTTCGTTTGCTCAGAATCCGCAAATTTTGTTTATTCCTCTCCCCCTTCAATCTCGTTTCGCGATTCTTCACTTCTGGAGTTGGAACATCAGATCCCCCCGTCGATTTTAAGTCCCTCACGGAATCGTGTTGGCTAACGCCACCTAGGCCTCTGGGGCGAAGATGGTCCAGGTTCTCGCGGTTGAACACTCGGTGAACTTCTCGGTGGCACGGCCTGCCGAGGAGGTATTCGAGGCTGTCCCCTTGGCTGGCCCGGAGGCTGTCTTCCGGCCCTCCTCGAGGAGGGTTGCCCGCTCAATTGGGGCACCTTCACGCCCTCACTCTGCAGCAGCCTCACGAGAGCATCGCTCAGAGGGGAAGAGTCCTGGCTTCTCTCTCTTCCTCTATCTGAGGGCTTCGTTCTCGATGATTTGCTCGTCGGCGTGGGCTTCGGCAACTCTGCCTTAAGATTCGTTGGCACTGATCCTTTTGGTAAAGAGCGTTCTCGATGAACTCCTTGTTGATCTCCGCTTCGCGTTCCCGAAGGTCCGGACGGCGGCCTGGAGCCGGGAGACCTGCTTCCGGCTGGCTCGTGCGCCCTTGGAGCTCTTCTTAGCGGCTTGCTGATCCGGGCTAGATACGCGACAACTTCTTTAATAGGAAGCCTGTGCAGCGGTCCGGTAGGTTTTCCTTGATCATCGGGCGGTATCTGGGGCGCTTCTTTCGGAGGTGGCGCCGGAAGTTGCGCTTGAGGGTTGGCCCAGTACTGCAGAGATCGTTCCCAAGTCTCTCTATCTCTCAACCAAGGTCTCGGTCTCCTTCTGAAACGTAGTATAGGTGGGGGTCCTCGAGTCGGCCCTCCTGCCTGACCCATTTGGGTTCCCTGTGGTGCAGGTGTCTCTTGCGGTGCGGCTTGGTCTTGGGGTGCGGCTTGGTCTTGGGGTGCGGGTTGGTCTTGGGGTGCAGGTGGTTCCTGTTGTACAGGTGGTTCTTGTGGTTCAGCGGGTGCCGGTGGTTCTCTCGGTGCAAATGCTTGTCTCAGTGCCAGTAGTCTCTTTCTCGCGACAAGAGGCCTTTTTGCGTCTGCTCTACCGAATGGACCCCTTGATGCTTTCCCGGATAGCATCCCAGTGCTCTTCCGGGTCGATTTCCGAAAGCTCGAGCGGCCTGGCCCGCGATCGCTCTTCTGCCCGACCCTTCGAATGCTCTCCCGCTTGGCACTCCGAGCGCTTGCTTGCTTGGCCCTTCGAAGGCCCGGCCCTCTGGAGTCTCGAACGCTCGTCCGACTCGGCTCCCGGAAGGATCCCTGACGGGACCCTCGTTTGCTGACGCAGGCGTGCACGTTCCCACGATTGCGACCTCGAGAACCCCCGCGGTCTCGAACGCTCCCGCGGTCGCGGCCCCGGAAACTCTCGCGATCGCGGCCTCGGACACTCTCGCGGTCGCGGCTCCGGACAAACTCGCGGTCTCGGGCGCTTCCGCGCCGCCGTATGCCGCCGCGATCGCGCTTCCGAGAGATGACCCGGCGATCATCGGAGCGTTCCCGCCTCGGGAGCATTCTGATTTGTCGTTGTATCAATCCCCGGAATCCCTGATGGTGTTCGTGGTCAATCAAATCGATTATCCGTTGCTCAGCCACTGGTAGCGCCAGGTCGGGGAGCTCGAAAAAGAGGGGGAGCAACGGAGGCGGCGGGGGACGGAATCGCGGCTGTGGAGCCGCGTCGTTTGCAGTTTCTTTCGATGGGGGCTGTCCTTTTCTGCCACCTCTGAGAGGTTCGCTCGTGCGAATTGCGGCAGGGGTTCTGTATTGGTCATTTTCTGAGGTACCGGATTTTCTGAGATGCAGCGCTGCGTCTGCCCTTCCAATCTCGCTCCCGACGCTGTGATGAAAGTCTGGGGTAATTCCTCCCGTCGAGGAACGGCCTCCTGTCGAGACCTGGAACTCGCTAGGCATAGCACCAACGGAGGCGTCCGTCGGAGAGAGTCGCCTCCGACTCCGCTCGGCCATGACGTCAACCCCATCGGGACGATGTGAAAGCCGTAGATTTTGTTGATCAGACGAGGAGCCATCATCGGTGTTCTTCTGGGCGTACGTCACCTCCGATGAGTCCTCGTGAGTCGAAGACATCGTTTTTGTCAATCGGGAGTTTAGATGAGCTGCCGATTCTCAATCACAACAGATATCGGCGATTTATCCTGAGGTGTGAAGCTAGAACATACAGCCGCGCCTGGAATCGTACTCGGTAGAGCCCGCTTCCTCGACCGAACGATGATCGGCTAAGCCCTGTCTCTGGCTCTTCCTGGCTCCTGGTCAGTCTCGAGACCCGACGCGTCATCATTCTGGTAATGTGAGTCCGGACCACTCGATGGGCCGATGTACCCGCTTCATCGACTGAGCTGTATGGGTTTGAATCATCGTCCAGAACCATATGTGCAGTTTCTGAGCCTCCGGAGTTTCTGGGGTCTTAAACGGGAAAGTCTCTCCAGAAAATCCTCTCTTTCGACTCACGGCCTGAACCTCTGTTGGTGTCCTCACGTTGACCTGCTCTCCTCGGGCCTCGGCGAAACCGGGCTGCCCAGTGGGCTAACGAAGCATTTTTTTCTGGAGCACGCGACCGATTATTATTAGCCGCGATTCCGAGCAGGGAGCTTCTCGGAGCAATTTTCGTTCCCCAGGATTCGATTGAGACTTACACAGCGACGATGCACCAGGACTTGTCTATTGGAATCTACTTACTTGCCGATCGGCTCCACCGGTCTCGATGTCAATACATAATTCGACTCCGCTGCTTTTATGAGCGTCCGGGGCTCGTTGCACCTATCCGGCTCCGTGTCCGAATGCAAGGAATGATCTAACCTCGACTAGGTCACTATGACTGAGAATGAAAAAGGGGAGGACCCTTGGCGCCGAATCCAGTTCCGGGTGTGGCGTGTCGGGTCGGAAGAAACTTTCAGACAAATCTAGCGGCCTACCACGAAAGTCACTAGTATCTCGGCAAAACACTAATCGACCACGCGGAATTCCCTCGAGCTCGCTGACAGCCGATGTGTTCGAGAGTTATATCTCAGAATCGATCGTCCTCCTCCCGTGACAGCTTCCCTGAACCATTGAGATCCCATTGTCGGGAATAGTTCCCTCGATGATAAAGCGCGACTCAATTCATTGCCGAGACCCGGTCGGAACGTTTCTATTCTGTCTCTCTCTCTCACTAGGTATCTTCCCGACGCTCTCTCCTCTCGAACTCGTTTCCACCGCGCCGACAGGAAATGGACCCGGCGGAAAGCTATCGGAAGACGTGTGTGCCGTGCGTTCAGTTCCGCTCTCGGAATACAAAAGACTCTCGTGGCGAAAGGAGAAGATCTGTGGACAGCTTCGTCTATGATCGTGGAGCGAGCTGCAGAGAACACCAGGATCCGAATTCCTGTCACGAACTGTTTAATATGTCTAATGTGTTCCTCTTTCATTTGACATGAGAAGGAAAAGCCGGGATTATTCCCGGAAGACCTTCACAGCTCCGGCTGAATCTCTTTTGTTCTCTCATGTGCCTCTGGGATATCAAAAGACGAAAAGACTCCCGGGCTCTTTCCAGCATCCCCGAGCTCTAGAGAGAAACCCGAAAGTCTGCTGACGGTCTCGAAATGGGAACCCCTTCCCCATTTCGACTCAAGAAACTTCCAGCGAAACCGGAATTTCTCCACGCATCGCTCGATTCTTTTCGACCGAAGAGATCGAGAAGAAGATATGACTTGGCTTGTGACCTCTTCTTCCTCCGCGAAATTCTGCCTCCTACTGTCGAAGTTCTTTGCCTTAGGCTGCGCGCGTGCCATCCGGGATTCCGGAGTCTAGGATGTCGCTCCCGAGCAGGTGAAATAGGGCCAGATCCTGATTCTCAAGGTCGGACTATCGTCGTGCTCGAAGATCAGTGCCGTGTTGACTCCGGCTCGTGTGGCGTCGGCGTCGTCTCTCGTATAGAGACGTTTGGCACGCCAAGTGCTGAGCGATGTCCTCCCGACCTCCTAGTTCTAGCTACGAGCTAGGACCCTCATTCTATGCGTTCGCAAAGAGGTAGATCGAGACGATCAAGGAGCTTAGCGGAGGCGAAGAGCTGTGTTCCCAAGGCCGGAAATTCATGACTCAGTCAGAATGAAAAACGAACCGAAAATCCTGCATCGACGGCTGCAGCTGATTTGGAATGAAAAAGAAACGAACATCATTCGATTACTCCTCTTCCTATTCGTTTTAAATCATAACTCATTTTGCGCCTTTGGGTCTCGGGGCAGCTTTGCTAGCGGGAGCTGTGCCACCCTTCTTCGTCATCTTCTGGGTCGGAGCAGCAGCTTTCGAGGGTCCCGTACCTTTAGCACCGGGCGCCGCAGGTGCCGGTGGGCGAGGAGCGGCACGTGCAGGTGCCTTTGGAGGTGCTGGAGCTGGTGGAGGAGCGGCCGGGCGGACTGCTCGCGGGGGAGCTGGTGCCTCCTGAGGTGGCGGGGGCGGGGGCGCAGGTGCTGCCGGCATCGGCGGCGGGGGAGGGGAAGATGGTGGTCCCGGCGGCGCGGATTCCGGCGGTCCTCCGAACTGTCCACCGGCTTGCTGCTGCATAGCTGCGTTGAGGTCGATCGGAACTCCATCGATTTCGATCTGAAGTCCTCCGAAAGGATCTGGGGGCGGCTGCTCAACCTCCGGCTGTTGCTCCATCCCAGAGGCGGGAACGAGATTGCCCTGAGCATCGATCATGAACACTTGGACGCCTGGTTGTTGAGCACCTGGAGCGTTCGGGTCGCAATTGATCTGGAGGAAGTTCGGCATCCCGTAGCCGCCGTACGGGTCTTGAGGGCCAGTGCCTCCCCTCATCTCGTTCGTGCCCCCGAAGACGCTGCACAATCCGAATGGATCGTAGTAGATGTCGGGAAATCCATATCCTAGGAAAGCTCCTCCTCTCAGGACCTGCGGTAGTACAATTTCGTGGTGGGGAGTGGCATCCGGAGCTTGATGCTCGAACGGGGCCTCGACCGGAGCCTCGATACTCTCGTGAGTCTCGAAATTTTCGGCAGAATAGGCGCCGCCCCCCGATAGCACGGGCTTATCCTCGATGGCTTCGGCATCGGGAGATTGAATTGCCACTGGATACTGCTCCGGATAGATGGTTGCCGTCGGGGTTAGCTTCTGGCCATCCTCGGAGAAGATCCCGTCCGCGGTGATATAAAGGTTCACATACATCGTTTTCTCTCGACACTGAATCTCGAAAGAATTATGCTTTAAATACGCCAGCAACAGCGATGATTTGTTTCAACGCCGCGCTCGTCCGTCAGAAGGGAGGAAATTCCTAGAATCTTCATCTCGGCTCTAGCCCAGTTGACTCAAGGATAACGGCTCCATTATTCTTCTGGAAGACGATTAAGCTCCTCGCATCCCATTCAGCTAGGTTTAAGACCTAAGACTCGTACTTGGGTGGTCGTTGCTGTTAATGATCTAATCGACCTTTTCCCGGAGTCGAAAACGACGCGTATGAATCGGGGGAATCATATCGATGTGGACTATTGAGAGGAACGGAAGTATGAAGCTTCTCAAGGATCGATTTCTGGAGGGCTCACCTATTTCAATGAGTTCATCCACTATTATGTCGAGGAATATGCAGGCTACTCTCTCTCTCTCTCTAGTGTCAGAGTGCTGTGGGAATTTTCTGGAGCTCATCGAGGTGAGGGCAATAAAAAGACTTGAGTAGCTGTGGACCTGGATCCGTCGTGTCCTGGGAACACGGCCTGTCTTTCCGGTTTAAGACGAGATATCTGGAGCTAGCGGGCGTCAGTCGGCTTCGGTATGAGGTGACGGCAGGCGAAAAAGGAATTGAAACTCCTAGGAACTCACTGTCGGCGTCGGCTCTATTTCGAAGCATTTGAATGATGCGACAAGGAGCGATCGGAGCTACAACTTGTTCGCGGTATGGTTCGAGAACCAATCCCACTCGATAGATCCACGGGAGCAGCGACCCCGAGCCTTCTGGGAAGAATCGGTAGCGGAGTCATCCTGCTTCTCGGAGCTGACCGATGGTTCGCCATCTCCAATCGAAATGAAACAATCTGACTGGTCCCGCATCCCTCGGTTCACCGTCTTCAATGCATTCGGATTTCTATTAGAGGACATTCACATCTCATGTCCGTGTCCTCATCCCGCTGCCTTCACGGTGACTTCATGGTGCGAGGGTGCTTGGAGGAAACCCAGTTTCATTTCTTTTATGAAGCGGTGTGATACGCCGAATGTTCCATTCATTTGCTCCCCGTGATCGGCAAGTTCCTTGGACGCTTACGGAGAAAAGACTCAAACATTTAGTTCAAAAAGTGCACTCGTTCCGCCTCAGCCCGATCGCTCTCCGCTACGGGTGCTGAGGCTCGGAGTTTGCGCTCTGGCCCCGCGGGAATCTCAAGTTCGACGACAACTTCGTGGTGCGAAATACACGCAATCTCCCGGAGCGGTTCCATTTGGGCGTGATACTACGCCTCGCTGCCGCATTCAATACTATGCTAATTCAATCGCCGTGTGTTTGCTGCTATTCATGTTGTTTTACGTCGCCCCCGCTCCGAATCGGCGTCCCTGCCCCGTTGGAGTCGGCGGAGAGCATATTCCCTCGACAGGGATAATCGAAACATGGACGGGTGGTCCCGGCTGGCAGCAAAAGGTCCCAACACGTTTGAGAGTCCTGGTACCTGTGCCAGACTTATTCAAGAGTTTCAGGAATCCTTGTTCTTTGGTTCCGGTTCCAGTAGTATCACCATTCCCTCGTCTTCTTGGCGAAGAGCTGTGAAGCGAACTACTGAGGATTTCCCTCGAACGGTGAGCCTTCTTGGGAGCATGCTCGCGGCGAGCGAGTTATGCTCTCCTGCTCGATCGCCCGCGGTGAATGGAATCATCGATACGGATTTCGTGGGAGCGATATGAACGGAAGAGTCCCTTCTTGACTGCATTGTCGATTGATTGCTTCCGGGCGGCTCCCTCCCTTGTGGTGTTATTGGTATCGAAACCTGCCAGCATCAACCCTAGCGCTGCTCGACAATCCCTAGTGATCGCTTGTATCCTCCCCCCGAGCCTCCGGTCCAGAGATCTGCAGCTCCCGGGGAGCCGCACCCGCATTCCATTTGTTGTTTCGACCAGTTTGTGTTTCCCGACAAAAAACTTTCCCGGAAGATTGACTCTCTCGGTCAGAGATTTTGCCGTGATTATCGCACGAGGAGGCTCATCGGTTCTGATCTTTTCTCCTGTCATATTTATTGCGCAGATCCATAAATTCACAGTTGTCAATATATCGGATTATGGTCCGCTGTTCTTAAACCATTGTGACGTTTCGCGAGGAGGGAGCATGGGGTAAATCCTCCATCAGTACACAGTCATCGAATTCTCGAAAATATTTGCCAAGTCCCGCTCCACGTGACTTCTGGGGGCAAGTTTGGTGACACGTTCCTAAGAAAGAGGAGTTGATTGATTGCGCTGGAATCCCCTGGTTCGTATAACTCATGCAGAGAAAAAAACATCAGTTCGCGAGGGGATCCCGCGGATGTCGGCGCTTGTCCCATGAGAGAACGCTACATGGGTAAGTTGAAGGCGCTCATGAGCACTGATTGGAACCCAAGATCCTCTTACCTGAGGTAAAGTTCCTTTCACAAGGTCATCAACGTCCGCCTTCCCGTAGCCCAAGGCCGAGAGACCATTCTCAATTTTCATCTGGCTCATATATTCACGCAGAACATCCGCCAAAACTGCTCCCGCATCGGCCGCCTTGATATTCCTGGTGTCTCGTCCGCCTGGAAGAGCTTCTTATTTTATAAGAGCTTGTGAGCTACCCGGGAGCGGTGAGATACGCGGTGGGTTCCCGGTTCTGCGTCCTATGAGTTCGAATTCTGGATTCGTCACCCCGGGGAAACTCAATATACGTAATAGAGTGGTGGTTCCCGAAAAGGCTCCATGGAGATCTAGGGTTCCAAGCTCGGATCTCTGTGGAACCTCAGGATTCCATCGACAATTTTAGCCGTTGCCATAGGTTTCATTGCTTGATTTTGGCTCCGATTATTATTGTTCAAGCCTTGACATCCCGTCATTTTCCTCCATCCCATAAACGGGTAGGAGTGTGTGTGTGTAGGCCCGAGTATGTGTGTGTGGAGGCCGGTAGGCCCGAGTCCTGTAGGACTTATCTCCGTCCAGTGGGAAGTTTTTCAAACATATTATCCGAATGTGAATGAGCTGCAAGGGTTCCACGTGTGTGGGGAGGACTAAGGAAGGTTCCACGAAGGTTCGGGGACCACTCTAATAAAGCATAGAATGGATGCTCGTGAGAGCCGAAGTTTCCAGGGACGATACAGTCTCTCGAAACATAGAGCGTAGTCCAACGGCGGCATCGATCATGCTCGCCGAACGTCCCGAATCAAACAGGGGCGATAGAGAAAGGATTGAAGAGATAATGCGAACGAACCCAATAGTTGGACAGCCTCGATGTGTCGATCCGGACAGGCTGGCGCAGTGAAGCTGAACACAGCAGGAGATGTCATGACGACAGCGAGACCGTGTGGGATGATAGGTTTTTCCGAGGACTCGTAGTCCTTAGCCACGAACTTCTTCACTAATCCCGAGATCGGATACGACATTCCGTGGCAGAGATGAACGCCGGCGTTACCAAATCCGATACCAGCGTAGCAACTCGCGAGATGCATCGCGGACCGAGCTTCGAAGTCCTCGCAGTCGAAAACGTTCCTGGAGCAAAAAATATTTAGTGTGGTTCTCGATGTCTCACTCGCGCCGATCATTCCGTCTAGAAATATCTCTCCGTCTGCACTTAAATTATTCTGCCCGAAGTCGGACCCGATGGTGAGGACGAACTCGACATGATATGAGAAAATGTCACGAGTAGGTGACACGGTACGGAAATAGATTGACTAACCTTTTGAAGAATTTCCTCAGCAATGCGAAAGCATGTCTCGCCCATACGTCGCTGATTGGATTGCTTCCCTGATATGCCGGTCGTAGAATCGGATCCGCTGGCTTCGGTCCCCTCTCGTTGAACGGGATGGCGGTGAACGACTCCAGAGCGTGACACAGTACATCGAAACCCGAGTGAGCTGCAACTCTCTCTGGCATGTGCTTGACGTGCAGCGGATCCACGATGGCCAGGGTGGGTTTCAGAGCTCGATTCGCTATCCCTGTCTTGGCTTTCAGGGGCTCGTAGTCGAAGATGGCCACGCCGGTAGTTTCACTGCCCGTTCCAGCTGTCGTCGGGACTGAAAAAGAAGCGTCGCACGGGGTAGAACACGATTATTGGAAATCTGCAGGAGCTCGGGTTCAGGCCTTTCTGAGAATCCTGAGCATGGATTGGCGCCCACGTTCCGAATTGACGCGGCGCATGATCGAGAGCTCACCTGCGATCAGGGGTTTCAGAGTGTTGCGCACGGGTTTGCCTTTGCCGATCGGCGCGTTGACAAAATCGAGAAATTCTGCCTCGGGATGGCTCAGATAGAGATTCGCGGCCTTGGCTGTATCGATCACCGAGCCGCCACCGACAGCCACGAAAACGTCAAACTGTCCTTTCCGAGCGAAGTCAATGGCTTTTCGAATACTAGAGATACGGAAGGAAGTTACGCAATGAGGAAGATATCCACTCAATTATCCCCAGACTTTTTGAGGTGATCGGTCGAAGACCTCCCAGGAGTATCAGCTCATTCCCGAAATGCTGCTCGAATAATCCTCGATCTGATGATTTTTTGACCTGCCTATCCGACGGCAAGGCCTAACGTTGTCGATTCTACCGGAGGTAGTCTCAAGATCGACATCAAGTCGGGAGAATAGCTCCCATTATGTGTGGCTCCACAGAGGAGAAACACCAGCTCGGCGGACCTCGCTATGACACTGGTCTGGGGTAGTCGGAAGACGTTCTCGGGATCCGACGGAGCGGACCCGGGAGGGGACTAATTAGCAGATATAGCTGTGATACCTGTGATCAGTGGGCTCGACTGAGACATCGCTGAAGAGCTGGTAGGTGATCTTGTTCGCATGGAGCGAATCGAGCGCTGCTTTCATCGGCGGAAGCTTCTCGAGATTCTTATCTGTGATGACGCAAACGTTTTTCGCGTTCATATTTGCGAGGTCCTATGGGATGCGGGGATTCGTTTGTCATTACGCGCGCTCGTTTGCAGTCTGACCGTGCTTGACAAACGATATGCTTGTCACAGGTGGGAAAGACTCCCGGAGGACCATTCGAGGAGCATATGCCGGTGGTCCGAGCGTAAATATCATATCTGCCTCGAAGCATCATGGATGGGTTCTGTGTACCTGGCCAAGCTCCTGTGTTACTCCCGGTCCGTATCGGATGTTAGAACATGCCATTTCGAAAGCGTATTCCTTCGCGTGAGAACACGATCCTGTGCTCATTGGCGTTGCCTGGTGGGCTGGGCATCGTTTCCTGTAAAAACGTTTTTCTTTATGTCATGCAAGCGAGGCAGGGCAAATCTGTTAGCGAAAATCGCGGGGCTCGCTGCCCCAAAAATTTTTGGTCAACTCGGAAAGTAAAATGAGAGAATCGTTGCGTGTCAAATAATCGCGGGGGTACGAGCTCAAACTGTGCCAAGAGGTGCATGCAGAAGGTGCTGAGAGTGCAGAAGACGTGAACGGTGCAGACTCGACGCCGGGTCCTCACAGGAAAAACATACTTCCTCCATATCGACTCATGTCTGAGCACTAACACTCCCCCTTTATTGACTCCTAAGCTAATGAACGGAATCCTTCGTAAAAACATTGATTATATTACAATGATATACATATTTGTTCTGTTCTCCATCCTATGCACGTATAAAAATGGGGTGGGCAGGGGAAGCTCTCGAAGTGAAAGCCTTCGATTCGACTGTTCTCTGAACTAAAATTACACAAATACATATATTTGTCCGCGGCTGATTCGACCGGCAAACGACAATCTATCAGTGGAGATTCTGTCTGCGAGACGTGAGCTTCGTCGATGATAATTGACCGGAGGTCACCTTCTGAGAGCTCGCTCACGCCAATCACAATTCTCCGTCCGGACCCATCTTCAAGTCTCGGCTTGGATCGGAATCAAGATGACGAGGCGTTTGATTTCATAGATGACCCCGTCGTCGTGACAACAACAATGAGTATGTAATTTGGAGGGAAGAAAAGACGCCTACTCATGCTGCGGTAGTATCGTGGCGTGGACGAGACGAGAAATCAACGTATCATCTTATCCAGCTGTATCCACCATCAGCAGCGAACACATTATCTCTAGACCTGATAGATATATAGGTAGATAATAAGCATCGTAAACGAAGGTGAAAGGATCACAGGATATCTCCGAAGCAGTCGAATATCCGAAATCGTTGAATGTAGAGACTTGAACATTTGGCAGATTCCACAAGCGAAGACAAATGCCCATGAGTTTGGTCTTCCACCGACGAGAGAATCGAGGACGGAGCTGGCCGTGGCTAAAACGGTCGAGATTCGGCTCAAGCGTATTTGTTCTTGTACGCCTCGTTCCATAGTTCTTCGAGGGCGGAATCCACGAAGCCGTGAGCGGCTATCACATCTCTGAGATTCAGGTTTCCATACTGAGGCCACATCTGAATGAACTCGCTGTGCGTCGGCTGAACGCGAGCTTTCCTAGCGCAGATCCCGACGAAAATATCATCGAATTTGAAGTGTCGAGTGAATTTCGATGCCGTATACACCTTCTGCAGAGCTTCTTGATTCAGTAGGATCGCTCCAGCTGTGATGTAGGGCGGATATCGAGAGAAAGCGTAGTCCCTCAACGAGATGAACCACTTCGAGAAACGATGTCGCATGGGAGCCGCGTTCGGGAACAGCTCCCCCGCGTATAGAGCTCCACCGGATTCGGCTTCAAACACGTCGATATAGCGGAGCAAATTCTTCACGGAAAGATAATAGTCGTCATCGATGAACAGGAAATACTGAGTTTTGCGGCAGAATTGACTCGCCCAACGCATCGACGCCATCGTTTTCAGCGTGTTGTTGTAGTAGGCGTCGATGAAATCCACCTGGATTATGTCTTTGTGTTTCTCGTTCTCCACGACCAGATCACTCTCTTCGGAGCCGCGAGCGATCATGAAGAAGGTGGCCATATTCGTGTTGCTGAACCTCTTCTTGCCCCAGGTCCGTCGGATGACATTGCGTCTACTGCGGTGGGCTAGCGCGCTTTTCACGAAGATTGTCAAGCGGAAATCATTCTTGCAGCTAGTGTTGTTGTGGATCCGATACTCGAGCGAGTCGTAGATGTGGTTCACGGGAAGCATATCATCGAACTGATCCCCTCGCATCGGATAGTCGTACCCGGGATCGAGAGAAAATGTTTCTCCGAGTTTAAGGAAGATGCCGAATTGATCCAAAGCTACAACTGAAAACACGAACATGGCTAGAAGAGCGGCCAGCCGCCGCAGCTGTCTGGGACCCATCTTTGGAGGGCCCAACGAGTGTGCCAGACGGTCGTAACCCATTGCTCGCTGAGCCGCACACACAGACACTTACTGCACGCCCGCCATGGCCCGCATCAGATCCAAGGTTCGTCGAGACATCGCGGAAGAATGAACAGGAAACCACTAGCGCGAACTGGAGCAGGATAGAGCGACTACTGTTCGCCGTCGGCCGTCTGCTATCTTGGAAAGTCTTCTTCTACTCGGTAAACAATAGGATGGAGTGGAGAGAGAACCTTCGGAGCGGAGAGAACATCTCAGAGAGGAGCGTGTGCCGCGGATGTTTCCTCCTCTCAACGGCGACCCTCTCCCAAATGGGCGAGTAAGCTAGCACGCAGGCGACCGGACATCTCGCGCTCTGGTTCGTTGCTTAGAGCATGAGAATTCGTTCCGAATTCTTCAAAAGTTCCGCGTCGTTGTCCTGATTTGAAGCCCACGAGCGAAGTTATTTGAAGACCTCGAGCGGCGCATCGACAGCACGTCAGCTGCCGAGAATACTCAAAACGACAATCCAAGAGAAGTATGCCGGAAAAACGTCGAGTGTTGTTCGTGTGTCTCGGGAATATCTGCAGATCGACGATCGCCGAAGCCGTTTTCCAGCATATATGTAAACAGCGAGGTGAGTTCCAGCTGATGCATGCCATCATGCCGTGACAAGCTACTCGACTTCTCGGCTGACCTTGCGGAGCTCGGAAACGCTTTGTTGCTCACGCTCACAATAGCTTCTTTCGGCTCTGTGCTCTGTAAATGTGCGCAAGTGTCTTGTGAGTTTTCGTTGGTCGAGTGAACGAGTGCAATTACCTCCATGGGATTGCCCTCCAACGAGCGGCACGCTCGCTCTCTCTGACTCAACCGTCTCCCTCCTCGGCTGAATTAAACGCTCGTTCGGCAGCAACGCAACCGGTGGCGTCCGAGACACAATTTGAGACAATTATTCGAGTGCTCACTCCACAGAAAATGTAGCGCCAAATTTCTCGGTGAGCTCCATTCATGACGACCCCGTCTTTGGAACCTCGCGTTGGCAGTGCCAAGTTGAGCTTCTCGGATTCCTTTCCAATCAGGAAACTTTTTGAAACTTTCTGGTCGGAACTCATGCTCGGGGGAGCAGGTACCGTCAGAATTTGGGCGCGTCGCTGACGACGTCAGCGTCATCCCCAACGCCGCGGCGTCGACGAAGTCACCAACAGCAACGGTGTGAACGGACATGGCGACGGCGATGGGCACCAGTACGTTAGGAACGCGGGAAAAAGGATGTCAGGTAGACAGAACTATGGGCAGCTCGGCAAACTACTGACTGAGTGGATGATCGTAACGACCATCGTAGTCACGGCCTCCGTAAGATGCGCCTCGCTTAGCACGTTATGGTCGGCTAGTCATGGATGTGTCCGCCGCAGATCATCGCTCTAAATATTCTGATGAGTCCGGAACGTTTTCGGACTGGCCCGAAATCTCCACCGCGAGGATCTGTCGCATACGGTTCCATCGCGTCAGTGAAACTTGAACTCGGTCCTCGAACCGTCATTGGAAGGACTCGCTTTCGAGCGCGAACAGTACTCAACAACGATTCGTGTGATTCCCACGCCGACCGAGACACATTCCCCTGCGCATGGCCGTTCCTAATCCTGAGACAGACATGTCAAGGTTAAACGGAACTTGCTCGCCCACCTTCTGGTTAAACATGGCCCAGCGACTAGAGAGTGGAGTGATGACGTCGTCAAGGTTCGCGGCGGCCCAAGCTCCCGATTACAGGCAAGGATAGCCATCTGACTGACAATAAGTATTGGATGGATCCAACTGGAAGGTATCTCCGATGAAATATCGGAGGGGTAAATCGAGAGTTCTGGTTCCGTACTGCCCCGGGAATGGCAATAGCCAGACTCCAACCACAATACGCTTGTCTAGACTCCAGTCATCTTCGCCTAGCTGCGTCGTTTCAATGATTCGGCGCATCGGAAAAAGGAAAAGGAAGAAAAGCAGTCAGGCATGAGCGAGGCGCGCGAAGAGAGACTTGTCTCAATAAAAAAGCTATTAAGTCGATAATCTGCCTCCCGGCATCCGCCTCGGCTGAATTGATGTCACTCGAGATATAAATTGGGTGAAATGATTGATGTCGAGCCGCCAAACCCGGACGCGTGCTTTCGGATCGCATCGCGGATTGAAGAATTGAAGTCATGTGTCTGATGGATTTCCGGGCCGAGAAGAGCCGAGTCCAGAAGGATGACTGCCTCTTCTCAGTAGATCTGCTTTTGTGAGTGCCTTCGGACCGAAAACCGAAAACTTCGGCTTGTACCTCCAAATATCCCTAGATCGGATTCAATGCCGAACCGCCGGCTCGAGCTCGGTGCGTTATCGGGCTGAGAGCCACTGTCCTGGCTGACCGGTCCTGTCGATTTCTGACAGGGCTCTTCCTACCGCCCATCTGTCGTTCAGGACATCAAACTTATGCCAGTTATGGTCAAGTTTGGCCCTTATTTAAAAGCAGGAATGAGTGAGATTGGGACCCGGCCCGAAGCTCATGTCACGAAACGCGTGCGCCACCCATATTCCCCACCACGCCTATCAGCTGTTCGCTCAACCCTAGTTAAAGTCCTCCACCAGGTGTGAGTTGAGCGATGGCTTGGGCTTCCGGTAGCATCCCTCGCAATCTTCGCTGCTTCTCAGCGATATTCCAAACAGGATATTGTCATCGATGTTTATCCTGATTCTCGGATTTTCTCGGACACCATCGGTCGAAATTCACTTCAGTGACTCTACGTCGCAGACGGCTGGTCTCGCTCAAGCAACGTCAATCGGCCGTGCACAGAGTTTGGCGAGAACAACTGAAGGCACAAGTTTGTTTTCACGGCAAGCTCTCTATCACCTAACGCACGGGTTTGCGTCACAATGTGTGTCGGGTTTGAATGGCAGAACCTCGGAGCGGATATCATTCTACCACGAAAAACGGGTTCCATTTCACATTTCACCGCACCAAGGTCTGCAAACAATCGACAAATAAAGCCATAAGTGAAGTTGAGCCGGCGTCGAAAAAACGCCTGATTGCGCTGAAGTCTCCTTCGTCGGGGATCTTTCCATCGGAGCAAAACTGAATACAGAGCTCTGTTACGCATAAGTTCCAGTTGTTCTTAAGGGAACATTCTCAGCAGCTGTGAGCAAAGCTGAATGCCGTTGTGGTCTCGACCGTCATCGTTGAGTCATGCTCAAAGCCCTAATGACAGAAAATAATTTTATGCATCGTCAGAGTTCGCAATTCATTCGATTCCGAAATCCCCGTGACCAGATGTCTGGTCGACTAAACATGAGAATTCAGCAGACAGACAGTCGAACAAGAAAAAGCCTCGTTCATGGGTTCAGGGCAGAAGATAAGAATCGGGCTCCGAAGTTGAATAGAAGAGAGTTCCTCGGTGGATTCTATTTCTTCATATATATGATGTAGCGATGTTCCGATTTCCAATCAACACCCCTTATCGCACTTTGGAGGGAATCGACACCGTGCGTTCGTGTCCGCCGCCGTTGATATTTTATTCATCTGTCTTATTCCGCTGCGTTTGCTGCCGCCGCCGAATCTTTTACGACATCACGACACATTCAAAGTAGCTCTCGGTGTCTCTTTCCATCAGGCTCGAGGATTTCGACGATTATTCGACTCCTTCGATCCAAACGCAAGCCGGACTCGTCGAAGATTCTGTCCAACTCAGGCCATCAACTTTTGTACCCCATCGAATTGCAGCGCGAGCATCTGGGTGAAGAGGTAGTTTTCGTCAGGTGTCTCAGCCCGAACCGTCGATGAGAATATTCTCTGCCTCGTTCCAGGAATCGAAGACCTGTGGGAAGCTGACAGCTGTGCCACGGGTAGTTGGCACACGGGATCCAGCCCGGATCGAAGAACTTTGAAAACACTTGCGAACCACGACATCACTTTCAGCCACAGAGCCCGACAGCTCACAAACGAAGATTTCGAGAAGTTCGATTTTATCTTCGGCATGGACAATAACAACATCAACGCCATAAAAGGTTCGTTTCGCGCGTATGTTCAACTTATCGCTCGGAGGCGATGAGTGAAGTTTCCCCTCTTGCCTGCGGGGCCCTTCCCCGGAGCGCTCGGTTGTGGAAAATGAAACGACGTGTCGACGCCTAGTTTCATGGCTCGCCAGCGTGAACAGGTATTTCAGAACAGCGGCGGTCGCAGTCATCTTTTCAAAGCATGGCTGCAACGAATCGGTCAGTCGAGTTGACATGCGAACGATCTCTTGCGGTTTCCACGGAATGGTGACGGCAACTGCCGCTCACACTCGCTCAATGTACCGCCGATGTCTTGAACGGTACTTGAGGAGCGGGGACAGATGAAATTTTCAGGGAGCAAGTTCTAAACCCTCTCTTACCAGGAGCATTCGCAGAATTGGAGGGGCTGTCGTAAGCGGCACATTTCCGCTTCCGATACAGAAGTAGAGGCGGTCATCATTTTGAATACTCACACTGTGGGAGGCACCTCCTCCATGTATCGAGAAAGAACGTATTCACGTGCCTGCGTGTCACCGATACGTTCAGCGGAATCATCGAGCATGTACTCAAACTGTCAGTGTGTCAACGTTGTTCGGTCTCCTTGCTTCCTTCCATGCAGTTGCTGTGGGGTCTGTGGCCAATACAGAAGTATAATATGTTTAGCGGGAGAGACCTTGGAACATGAACCTTCCTTGAGGAGCTCGATTCAGCTTGCCTCGCTTTGGATCGCTTGTTACCATCAGAAGAACGCTGGCTGATGATATTTCTGTTCGGCGAACAACCACGATTGGAAGGAAAACCAAACCGCTGGGGAAGCATTGAAACACCTTCCCTTCAGCGCGTACCGCCTCCCTCGCGTCTAAGTGAACAATTTGACGATCAAAAGTTCGCTTGTCAGCCCTGACCACATATTTTTTGCATCGATAGAAGAAAGAGCTGAGCAGGTCGGACGATCTGCGCGTCCCCTTCATTTCCTCGTTTCATTTCGTTCGGCTCATTCTCGATCTGGATGTCAGGAGGCGCTCGTCGCTCATGCTGGTCATTTTGAAAAGTGGATGGACGGCTCTCCGTGAAGATGCCCAACGAGCGGCTTCCCGATATTTCTCTCTGTAGGATCCATCTCAATATTTATGTCAGCGATTGCAGGACTCGTTGTCCGAAGAAGGCACAGTGGAAGATCTATTTAGGGCCTTACACTTCTCACCACCATCCCTGTGTGGCGTTCCCCAGAGCCGCGCCATCCGCGAGGTGGAATTGATGCTTACACAAACTCTTCTTTTTTCTAAGCTGACTCTGCTTGGAGCAAACCGTAAAAACACCACCGGACAGCTCGCTTCGAGTCATAACAGCAACTCATGTCAACTGTTGAAGCTCGCTTGAAGCTTCCTATTCTTTTTCTCTTTCGAAAGGGTCCTCTTATGCTCTGCGAAACGTCTACGCAAATCTTATCGGCGGCCTCCTGTTTCCCGGTTCGGATCATTGCTTCTTCGATCTCCCTAGAATCTCGCCCGCGGACCGGTCAGAACACAACAATACTACTTCCTAGAGCTATGCTATCCGCGCTGGCTGGAATGTTCCACTGGTGCACGGAGCGTTTCGAAGGTCTCCAGCGCAAATCACCTGCGAAGCATCAAGAGATACTCGACGGTCGATTCATTAGACGGACAGCTAAGCGCTTGCTGTGGAAGTGTGACCAGAATCCATTCGAAGCGAGGCGTCTCCGCTTTCAAAAGACCGATCATCATCGTATTCTTAATCATCTGACGTCATGCGTCAGCTATCCCTAGAAAACCATGAATCCTTGGAGGAGAGCAGTCTTATGATTGAGTCGTCAAGATTCGCGCGCGTCTTTCATCCACACCAAGGATCATGGAGCGTTTAGCAGAACTCTTACGATCGAGACGGCGTCGAACAGAGTCCCAGAGTACCGTCGGCGTCGGTGAAGCGCGACCCCGGCGACCAGCCGTGGAATAAGACGTAGCTTGCTCGCGATTTCCGGGGCGTTTGACGAGATCGGCTCAGTATCTTTCGGCAGGGGAGCGCGTCGAGCGCTGTGCTAGACTTGCGCATGAGTCATAGTGCATATTTTCATTAGAGGAGACGGCCCGGCGGAGACTAAACGTATCTTGTGATCGTTGATCGTTTCTAAAACGTATCTGCGATATATTAATCATCGAATGGAAGATCATGATATGTTTCGATCCTGGAGAGGAATAGACGAAAGATGCGCGGCCGCCAGGGAACGGAAATATTCCATCTATTGGTCGAATCAGCCGGATAATTTCTTTTTCGATACTCGCAGATTATTTTTTATCAATTTTACGGCTTACGGCTCGCACCGGCCATTCCCTGTGAGGAGTTCTCGCTCTTGCAAAGAATTTCTCTCATGGCTCTTCAGATCGGCGAATATGAACTCCCCGTCGCAGTCGTCGTCGGTGTGAAACACACGGAATGTGCGAAATGTCATAGTAGGCGGAATGAGGAAGAGTCTGGATTCTAATTTTTTCACTGCTTCGCTTTCAGCTGCGGCTCCGTCCACTGAGAACCACGCTGTCATAGAACTGCTTGGAAAATACGATCCCAAAGGTCACAGGATCATAAGAGACCCGTACTACGACAGTGGATCTGCCGGTTTCGAAGAGGTCTTCGAACAGTGCAAGAGATCTTGCTTAGCTTTCCTGGAGCAGCACAAATGAGATCGCTGCAATGTCCCCGCGAAGCGAGGCGAATCGTCGTGGTCACTTGTATAGATTATTTATGCGCAACACAAAGATTTGTAATATATCTGAGCTGAGAGTCCGTTAGCCATGGGAGTCTATATCATGGATTGATTCCCAGGCTCGGAAATGACCTCCGATTGAGAGGGAGACGAGGGTGTCTGATTCGGCCTTTGAGACATGATCGTCGTTTGGGAGTTGTGTACGGCAAAGTAGTCGAGAAGATATTCGTCATTCCGGCCCGGTCAAGCCTAAGGTGGAGCACTGGACTTGTGATCGTCTCGCGAGAAACCATTCGTTCCAGGGTCGTTATCCTCGGGATCGCACATTTCATCGATGAGCATACACGACTCGAATCGAGACCGGAGAGCACCCTGGTGAGAACTTCGCATGCGGATACTTTATCGAAAAAGTCTCGGAATCGGAAGATTTCTCCAAGCTTAATAAAGACCGAGTGTACATCGAATCGAGGAGGACTCTTCTCTCGAAGTTCATTTTGATGTCAAGCTCGTCCCGCCCTCCTCGAGTTTCCTCAAGAGATCTGTGGTGTTCCTCCAGAATCAGAAATGTTTCTACGAGTCAGTGGAGGCTTTCCCGAATACGTTTCGTATACAAGACGCTCTTCAATCATTGAAAACATTACACCGATGAGGCATATCATGTCAGTGTCATCCGAGTTGTCAGAAGTTTGGATCTACCTCGTTCGGTCAAAGCAGACTGGCACCGGGAGCGTAAGCAAGGTGGCCACGCCCAACGAGGATTGTCTTTCTTCTCCGATCGGGTCGATTTTCGGCAGCGTAGCTACGGAAGCCAAAAGCGTCGGGTTGTGCTGACTGCTAGTCCGCCCGACTACGGATGATAATAAATAAAGATCCTTCGTTCCGCTGCTTTTGTAATGTTCCTTGGCACGCTAGCACAACACTAACCCGACAGCCCGCAGCCGACCGTCGACCGCCGAATTCTGGACATGCTTCCCCTCCGGTCGCTCCGGTCGCCACGGATCTCCGGGGAATGGATGAGCTGCTTCTGAGAGCGCCCAGAGAGAACTGGAGATTTTAGATCGGCTGCGCTCCCGGCTACTATAGAATGCGACACTTCAAGACGATAGAGTTTGAGTATAAAACGGAATTTTCTTTTATGAACAGACCGAGCGAAACTGTGAGAAATGTGATGCATGCGACATCGGCGACTGGCGATGCATGCGTTTATTATTTACACTGAATATTTAGATGGGTTTGATCTTGAAATGCAGGCCAATGAGGGAGAAAACCATGCATTTCAGATCCTGTACAAGGTAGTAGAAGCAACGGAGACCTTCGACATCACTGGAATGGAAAGTTAAGCTTAGCTCAGGCGGAACCTCGAACTTGACTCTTCTCGAATACATTCTTGAGCGTGGCTCTGTCACCGGATATCCGGAGCGAATACGGGCAATAAATTCAACTCACTCGCTGTTTGTGACGTCCGCGAGACTTCCGATTTTCGAAGTCGTGAACGAGACATGCTCGTCGCCCAGAACGATCTCGAGTTCCTGACGACCGACGCGATCGGGGACCGGCCAATCGCTATCGTCCTCCTGAAAATAATCCGAAATGAGCACAGAAGTCCACGATCGTTTTTTTGAGGAAAATCGGCGCGTACAACGCGAATTATTTCGTCTCACGGCGGGATACGTCATGAGCTTCGAGCGTTTTTCCCAACCACAGGTTCTGTGTGAGAAGATTCTCCCGCTTCTCGAGCCGGAGATCGGGATTCGGGATCATGAAAATCAAAAGGATTCCCTGCAGTATCCTCAAGGCTTCCGAATCGTACACACCTGCATGATTTCTGAGTCCTCAATGATTCTCCGTAGTTCAGCCATCACGGATCCACTCACATATACTTCTTTGCGGATGATTGTGTCATTTTTGTAGTTGGAGTTGTTCGCGTACCGCAGTTTACCTGCGGATGGCGGCCTGGATTAAGTTTCAATCGAAAAGGTAAACACTCACAATCCCTGGCCGAGAAGACGGTGTTCGAAGCATCGGCGTAGTCGCCGCTCTCTGTAGCGCCGAGTGCACGATACACGTGTCTCATCGGTCGTCCTGATGAATCCAAAGCGGGAATGGAGTTACTACGAGTTCCTGAACTCAAGGAATCCACTCACCATCGGGTCTGAACTCGAACTCCAGGAATTCATGACCGAATTTCCCCTTGTGGCCGACGTAGTACCGCACGTAGAAATCGTTGCTCGACATCGTTGAAGAGTAGTATATGAGTACAGTCGAGCCTTCAAGAAAAGCTCTCGGCGTCGAAAATCGCGTATTCCAGAGAATCTCGCCTCACACACAAGGCGGGAGAAAAGCCGACTCAAAACGAAACCACTGAGCGCGTTTACCCGTCCCCGTCGCTAGAACGGGCTTTACACAGACCGTGTCGGGCGAACGCCACAGATGTTTTCGGATTATACCCAGCACTCTTTCCGTTCCCAGGAAGCATCCGAGGCAAGAGCCTATAATCTGTCCCTGGCGAATCATATGGTACCCACGAGAATCTCTAGGAAAATGCAATACAGCTGAAGCTTCAGTCGATAAATCTCCCTCCGGCGCCCGCTAAGTCAGCGGGATCGGTTCGAATCTACCCATCTACGAGGGAGTTCTATATGCGTGATCCATTGTGACCCTCGCGCATGCAGTAAGCCGCGCAGATCGACTCTCTCCAAGAATCGAACCCGTCGAGGAATCTGTCCAAGCCTGAGATTGACTCTGTTTGGTCACCTGTCTCTATATGGGGAATCAACAGAGTAGTGGAAAAGAGGTCTCGGGACCTCTGGGAACAGTGACCGTCTACACCCGAAAGGAGTCCGAACCGGAGAAGAAGAGTGGCTGTCCTGTGGATCATTCAAAGGTTGGTGCCTTCATATAACTCCCGATCTCGATTCTACAAGCTGTCTTGTAGCAGTGGTCGGGCTACCCCTCGGACATTGGTCAATTGGGAAACTTAGTTTTCCTCCCAAGGAGCGCCTTTGCTATCCCTGCACGTCGCTCACGACCGACAGGACCCATTCCGAGTGGTTCTCAGGTTTCCGAAAATTTTGGATCGCCATCAGGTCGATATCCGCCTTCATCAGAAACATACCAGGTTTTCTGCCGAGGAATGACCCTGACCTGACATTTCTCTCTCCCCGATGCGGTCTCGAATCTCATGAATCGAATAGTGGATTTAGAAATAAATTAATTTCTGCTGCAGATCAGCGCGGCTCCGGGCTCTCAACCAGATTCGAAGAAATCTCAGTGTCCAATCCAGCACGATGCAAACAACAACAGCAATAAAGAAAACCAGAGCAGCGATACTGCATACGTCTCCGAGTGCCCGATGAGGAGGGGCGAAGAAGGCGTAAGTTTCCCAAGACCATAGATGGACTGTCCCCGCTCATAATAAGTTATCATTATTCACTGAGCCCTTCCGATTCCTCAGAGTAAAAAAGATGAGGTGAACCCTCTCAACATGATGCCCGCACCAAATCAAAGGCCACAACCAGATCAGCCATTCCCGCTGGATACCGGTCGGGTCAAGAGCACGATCCCCAAAGCAGACGGTAAAGATGGAGAAACTTGGGAGTACCCCTCTCAACAGATGTTCTGGAACGCAATGATCCGCAAAGTGAGTGAAGCTTGCGGTCGATGATGGCGACTTGGTTGCCGTGGAATGGATCCCGCAGAACATCCCGTGCAAATTGCGGGATGATATTCAGAGATCCGGGAGCTGTCTCAAGGATGGATTTCCCAATATCTGGTTCCTATTCAGGGCTGGCGCTGGAAGGAGGCTGAAATGGAACCGAAAGACATGCACAACATCATCCAGATCCACAACGCAAACAACGAGCAGGCCTGGAAGGAAGTTCTCAAATGGGAGGCGTTACACTACCGGGAGTGCAACTGCCCGAAGCTGAAGCGCTTCGGTGGAAAAGCGAGCGATTACTCACCCAGAGCGCGGATGAGATCTTGGCTCGGATACGATCTCCCCTTCGATCGACACGATTGGATCGTTGATCGCTGTGGGAAAGATGTCAGGTAGGAGGAACTGGCCCTGATCTGCCCATCCAGATCGCTGGGGAAGTCCTACGGAATTCGATTCGGCGATAATAATAATCCATTTGCATATCCCGCGACCCGCCCGATTTATCCGATCGTTTCATGTCCAGGTATGTTATCGACTATTACGATGGAGGGGAGGTGAACCCCGATACGAAAGAATTCACGCTCCTCGATGTGCGACCAGCCATGGACTCCTTTGAAAACATTTGGGATCGGATGAAAGTCGCCTATTGGCGCTGGCGGCTCGAGTGGTTCAACATCGCACCGAAGCCACAACTGGAAGCTGCTCTAAAGGAGAAAGAGACTGCCTCGTAGATCGGACTTAGGTAGACATTGAGCTCAAGAATAAATTGCTACATTGAATCGAAAAGCCCTCCGAGTAGTACGACCTCATCTATATATATTTTTTCATTTCTCCGCCCCTCATATTCACAAAAACCCATATTCACAACGCGATTGATCTCCCGACCCAGCTAAAACTTCCCAAGACTTTCCAAAACGATTTTCTGTATCCGAGAGCGAACTGTCGTGTCGACCGAGTCGCAAATGTGAGTGGAATGATCTTCCAAGCGAATCAGAACACCTTCTCTCGGCAAGTGGATCGTGGTGGCGTTACCGATCGTTTCGGTTTTGATGTCGACGAAACCCTGCTTGGCGAGCTTAGCTGTGAACTGTTTAACCGATAGTTCTCCGTACGGATGTGAGATTTTTGTTGTGTTCGTGGGTTTCCCGAGCGTGCATTGATTGTTTTTCACAGTCAACGAGGCCGTCAGAGAAGAGACGGCGACGCCTTTCTTGAATTCTGTCTCGACGGGGACGACATCATCCGCGAGTTTGGGATCCATTTCTACTTTCTGAATCCTTCGTTTTATGGGAATCTGGAACGAGAATCATTCATCTATCATTCAATGAAATGAAACACGCGATGATGAAGTTCAGATACGCTTTGGTTATTTTCCAGCCACAATAAAATCGACTCGCCAAAAAGCGGCTCCTTACCTGCACTACTTCCGGCCGCTTGACCGTGAGGAATCGGAACTCTGGCTCTAGCGCCACCTCGGACCGGTTGGTGCAGTTAGCCGGTGCTTCATTATAGACGTTATGAGTGACCAGAACATTTGGTCGCATCTCGCGCAAGAGTTTATTCGCCTGGGAGAACGTGAGCAGAGTGTCTATCGGGTAGTAGAGGACCTTTATCGAGATGGGCTGGAACGGGGCCACAGCATCGACGTAATTGAAATCGGGTTCGGTGAAAATGACCGCGTTCGAGGGATCGTTCTGCCAGAGCTCCATCAGATGGACTGAATCTCCGAATCGCAATGAAGGATGGCCGGCGAAAACCACACTCGGGACATGGAACTCGTTCATGAAAGCCTCGTCGGCGATGCTTTCGTAGACTTTCAAGCGTCCGCATTTCATCAAATGCGAATGGGGAAAAGGCTCCTCGGGTATGTAGACCTTCTGTTGTTTGGCAGCCGTCAGCCATTCTGCCAAAATTCCGGAATAGGCCAAACTTTTATGAGCGACCGGGGATACGAAATACATCGTATTCAAGATACCTTTGCTCTCGAGGTGGCCTGAAAGGCATTCGAAGAGATCGTAGACCACACCAGCCGAGCTGCACGGTATGAGCACGTTTCCACCGCTCTTAAGGGTGTTCTCGACCGCCTGACAGAGTTCTCCGAGCAGAGTGTTCGGATTCGCGAGGGGAGTTTGATTGAGAGAAGCTATCAGTAAAACGTCGACGCCTCGGAGGAACTGGTGCTCGATGGGTTTGGGGTGGGTTGTGAAAGTCGAAGACGAAGCCATGTAGCCAATTTTCTCCATGTCGGACTGAATCATCCAATTGCAACTTCCCACGCAGTAGCCGGCCGATGCACAAGACACTTGTAGGTTACCGAAAATCGAGAGCTTCTGATTGAAACCAACGGTTTTGACTTTGGTCAGACAGTTGGCAACGTTCTTGAGTGTGTAGATCTCCTGCCAAAGTGAAACTTTGCTGCCATCGGTGTGGAAGGGCCCGAGCTGGCCGAAGAACTCGATCTCCTTGTAAATTTTCTGAGCTACTTTCGGCTTGGGACATCTGTCGATGTATTCGATGAGCTCCTCCATGTATAATCTCCCTATCAACGCAGTAGGCTCCGTCATGTAAACTTCACCGCGGAAATTCGAGTCTTCCGTGATGAAGGGCAGAGCCAGCATGTTCGTGTAGTTCGAAATCAGGATGACGTCGATGTCTCCCACATTTATCATGCCTAGCTCCGGAAGCAGAAACTCTGGAAAATTAGAGATTATTAATACGCGCAGGCTCTCTCGGCTCTCAATCTGTCGACCCAGATGGACTAGAGGAGAAAATTTTCGAGGGGACGGTGGCTTCTAGAGAAGGGACGTGAAGTGTGTTCGGATCTGGACGATTCCGAAAAAAAGCCGAACATCGGTTTTCGCAACGCTAGACCTGCTTACCGTATTTCGGGACTCACCAGGCTCCGCGTTGATGAAAGCACGGCCGTTGTTCTCTCTGAAGTCGACGCTATCCTCCATGGCACCATCTCGCGCCGTCCACGTTGAGAGCTGGCTGAGACGGGGACTCGTGACCATGGTGAGGGGCAGGAAGCTCATGATCGAGCTCAAGTCGAGTGCACAATCCAACATGATCATAGAGTTTTTGTGTTTCAAAAGATAACATGGCTTGTTGGGGTTGTCGCTCAGACTGTAGAGCTTCATTTTGACCTCGCTGCGGAGATTTCACGCTCGGGACATTTATCAGAAAACACAGCGTATTCGCTCCATTCACACGATACTCAACTCAAGAACGTGAATGAAAACTCGAAGAAGACTCGAAACGCTCTCTCGGAGAGAAGCTTCCCCAATCAGTGCGGGTAACCGGCTTCGAATGGAACTAAAATCCAATGTTTTGCTGACACCGTTAGATGCCGACCGCGGGTCGCGATCTACGACTCGAATCAGCTGTGCGCGCAGAGCTCTCTGACTGAGAGCTGCTCTCATCAGCAGAGTTTCGAAACATAAATCCAGCCGGCGCGACGACACAAAATCACTCTACGTTTCATCCACTCAGTTGAGGACCCGAGGAGCATCCAGCCTGGGAGCTCGAGAAAAATCTATTCGGTATTCCTTCTGATCGAGAATCTCTTCTGCTAATTTCTACAATCGTTTTCCCTTGCGGAACTGTCAAACTGAATGACGATCGGTGACGAATCGTCGCGATCGAGGATCGAAAAATCTCAACCGACGGCGAGACAAGTCTCGTCGGAAGCTGAGGCGCTGTATGGGAAGAGAATTGAGAGGCAAAATCTCGGGATCTGCCCGCTGATCAATGAATCGGCGATTTGAGAAGCTAAATCGCGATTTTTCATTGAGTTCTGTGTAGATCAGAAACATTTGAGAGCCGAAGTCTCGCTCTCAGATTAGACAGCTTTCCCGGTGTTGACGAGGTCTTGGGCGAACTCCGAGGCATGCGCGTCTCTCGTTGCCTGCTTCTCAGCTCCCAATCTTATGCTTGTGTCCTCGGTAGAGAACTCGCTGATTGCGGCCTTCACCATGTTCGGAACAGCGGCATGTGTCACCGCGGCTCTCGCTCGACACATGCCGCTCGATTCCACCTTACCCGTGAGACAGACCTATAGAACTGTGATTTCGCGACCGCGAGTCCGGATCTTACGCTTCGAATCAAGGTTCGTGATCCAGCAAGGGCTTGAAAACGAAACGCCGCCGTGGCTGGAGCCAGTCCCAAACAGCGCGGACGGGGCCGCACTATAGAAGCTCGCCCTCGAAACCCCTCGCCGCATGTAACCGCGAGAGCCCTCTCGTACCCATGTCGCCGCAGCTCTCGCAAGAGAGTCGCGGTGACACATCCTCGTGCAATCACACACGACGGTCCTTCAGCAACAGTAAAGGGCCCGCTACCATCTTCTCTCCTCGATAGTCCTTTGCTGTTGTCTTCATAGCCGATCGTATTTACAAAGCATGGATCGGGGGATGCGGCGGCCATCCTCCTTTTCTATCTTTTCGTCCAGCTTCGGGGCGAGCGGATCCCCAGGAATTTCCGCAGTCATCTTACGATTCCTCCGGCAGGGATGTACGGTGGAGGTGCGCTTCGTGGAGCTATCCGAAAATGATTCGCGGATGGGTTCGAGCCTGGTAATCGAGGGTTCTCATCTGTTCTCCCATCTTCCAGGGCGACGTCTGCGGGCATGAAAAACGACAATGAGAGATATCGATTCGCAAAGCGTCAAATCAATTCGACGAAGCCTCCCTGGTTCTGGAAGGAGGACAGGAGAGGGTGATCTCGCCGGCAAGCGGAGCGGAAGACGTCGAGAGCGGGCTAGGAAAAATGGCAGCCGGAAATTGTCGGCGTTAAATATTGAATATCACAGACCTACGTATCAGAGCTTCGAGAAACAGATTATTTGAGCCTCTCTGGAGGTAAAAGTTCACTGCCAGAGGCGCGCACAGCCGGCTGGACGAGCGGCCAATCCCCCCCGCCCGAATCCTCCGGTCCTGGAGCATGAACTCCGACGAGGCGCGCCATCATTTCGGTCGTCTGGCCCCCTCCAGAACTCGGGTTGGCGCCCCCCGGAGTTCTCCCCGTTTCCTTAAGAGCTCCGTATCTGCGGCACCACGAGACGTTCTCGAGGTATGGGTCGTAGTTTTTTTCTGGGGTGATTAAGCTAGAAGAGTCACCAGGAACCGAATCCGGTGTTGCTGACGGTGAGTTTGATGATACTCTCGGATACACCCATGCCTTGGATTACCTCAATATCGAAATCTCTCGAAGGTACCTATCGAGTCTTGCTCACGGCGAAGTGATTAAGAATTAATCGCAGCATTTGAAGGAGGCCGGGCCTGTCGGTTCCCGGGGTACATTGGCACTCACTCCGTTATTGACCAATAATGGCAATAAGCAGCATGTCCCGAGTCCCGAGCGGGCGCAAGGCGTCATCAGGGTTTTTATTTAATCCACCCTCTCCCTACCTCGCACTCTGGCACAAATGCCTCTCCTAGACTGTCCTCTTAATTGCCGATGAACGACGAAGTCGGTCGGAACACAGTGGTTCCCTCCCGACTCCAGCTGGTCCTGCATTGACGGCCATGCGCGCGGCAATAATCCCTGCCGCAAATCGAGCAGACTCGCGCGAAAATCATATCTCATGAGTCTGAGGGCGAGCCCCGTTTTCTCGTTCACGCACTGTCGCAGTGATCACGGGAGCGGCAAGACCTGGGCGGAGAAAACTGTTATTCAAGAAATCCTCGATTGGCTGAGTACGGCAGCTCGAAAAGTCACGCTGATAAGGGCTGAGAGCATCTAGCGAACTCGGCTCCTGAAGCCGTTAGAGCGAAGAGACAGAGAGCCAATGCTTGCTGGGTCCGACTCCACCATGTCGGTATCTCAAGAGGACGAGCTCCCCCTCTCGGATAGCGTATGCACGAACTTGTCGAGAGTTCCCAAGGAAACGATATCAGGAGCTTGGAGCGGAACAATGTACACGATCCTCAAACGAATGAGACTTCTCAAATTTCCATTCGAGGACTCATATTGTGTACTTCAAGATCATCTGGAAGAGGATGCTCCTGCCGAACTTCAGAGGGCCCCGAAGTCGTGAGACAATAGTGGTCATTACGTCATTACCGAGCGTGTCCTCCGGAATAGCCGTCAAGAGACCCCTCACCGGTGAGAATAATACTGAGCATCAGCGAACTTATTCTCCGGGACCGTCAACTATCGATGAAGGTCTCAACTGAGTCAGAGCAGAGAAGGCGGGTGGGTGACACAGAACAGGATCCCCTCGACCGTGGCTCACGATCGGAGTGGGATGGCGCTATACAATGCTGCACCGACTTGTTTTGCTCAGAAGGAATCTCTCGGGGAGGGTCTGGGTCTGGATGCAGAGGATGGTGCCTCCCAGACCTTGGTTCCCTGACGATGCGCTGAGCGCTTGCGCGTGCTTTATTCCCGAGGTGCGATCACTCGACCGTGCTACGGGGAACGATTTATGAACTTATTTTGATACGGACCGAATCGTTCCGCTGAAGATCGGATGGGGACGCTAGAGTAGGGGATAAAGTTTCACGAATCCCCAAGTCTGTTCCAACCGAAAACGCAGCGATCACGCTGCTTCGAGCCTTCTGATGATTTCAGTGCATTGATCGATTGATCTCACAGATATAATATAGATATGTATCAACTGGCACAGCTGCGGGTCGCTGCCCCTCCCAAGTCTCGGGGATTCTGCACTTGATTCTCCGTGCTGGAGCTCCAGGCTCCATGTTCTCGCAGCGATCAAACACTCGGATCAAACGAGGAGATCAGAGAAGAGGCTTCAATACGATGTAACCCTCCTCCACGATACAGATAAGTTTCATTGTCAGAGGACGACGAAAAACCACTGAAGTTTTGAGTCTTGCATCTCCAGTAAACGAACTCGATTTTTTTTATCGGAACGAAATGAGGAACGATGATGTGCCGTGCAGCTAGTGCTCGAGAACTATGTTCTGATCGAAGAGGGATATCGACTGCAAAAACACTTGAATTTTCGGCGGACCACATCCGAGCGTCGCAGGTGCCCGCGGGCCGCACTAAAAATTTAGTTTCGTATGAGAGGAGAATACATGCCCATCTATGTACCATGGAAGAATGCTTTTCGATGCTCTGGGGGATCGCGCGAGAACTCGTTTTTTCGGTCTCACGGAGGGATTCATCCCACCGATCTCATTCGATTTGCAAGCACTCATTCGAAATGGTCAGCTTCGCGTATGTGGGGGAATAGTGGCGGGCCACTGAAACAGAGGCAACAGGTAACCCACGGGCCACGGATTCGGCACCCCTGAGGTCTGTCGGACCTCAGCATTATACCTTGCTTATCTCTCGAGCTGTCGATTGATGATTGAGTTATTCGCAATTATCATAAAAGAATATTCGACATTCGAACTTTGCCGCCCAACGAGAGCAGACAACCTCCGATAACAATAAGCGACAGTTTTTTCGGATGCTACAGGTGTAGAGCGCTGCCTTACCGCTAGATCACGTAAATTTGGAAAAGCTTTGTATTTGGAAACCATTCCGTTTAGACGTTTCAAACGAAATCAGAGAGAGCAATGGGGCTCAAAATGTGAAAAACGAGAAACCCGAGTGAGATCCGGACGCACAAGACGAGCTACGATGTCGAATGACCGTGGCAAGAAAATAGAGAGTGATCTCCCGGGATTTTACTATGACAGTGAGAAGCAGAAATATTACCGGATAACCCCGGCTGACTCATCCAATCCTCTCCATCCCGAGAAGATCCGGCGGATAGAGGGACATCGCGAATCTTTGAAGACGAAAGATCAGCTGGTGAATACCAAAACAGTTTCGCTACCCAGTAAGTTGGTAGAATCGTATAAGTACGATGGATCTCACATCAGCCTGATGAGAGAACGAATTCACGTATCAGGTCCGACCAGTGGCGGATCCAGGAATCCTCCGGGGGAGGGGGCGGTCAATGCATCGAGAGAGGGCCGGATCGATGACTGGGTCCTGCTTTAAGATTGGGAGTATAGGAGGGCGGAAGCCCCCCTCACCTTGATCCGCCACTTGGTCTGACTCATATACCTGAGTCACTTGGGAACTCCCGCGCTCAAGGCCGCATTATTCGTCGCGCGCAGACCGGTGACGTGTGCGACCTTCTGCGGGAACGTTCGGCGAGGGTACTAACGCCCGGTCGAAGCTATCACATTCACGATCAATTCGTTCCAGAGGCTCTTGGTCTCTTCCAAGGAGCTGCTTCGTCGCGGAGAAGTTTCCAGAATAACTTCCTCACATCAGCGATGGCTCGTCTCTCGAAGAAATTCTCGTGCCAAGTTTTGGATGGTTTCGACGATCGGGGTTATGCAATCAAGGACGCCGTGATGACTGTCTCCGGGAACGGAAAGCTGTGTACATCCTTCTCGATGAAACCCTCAGGACTTGCTTTGGTTGGTTCGACAATCAACTTCACTGAACAATCGGCGGCACATGGGATCACGGATCTCTTCTACATGCACAAAGTTGTCGATATGAAACACACGACCATCAGTGGAGGAGACTTCGTCGCGGTGGCCTGTCAAGCACTCGGAAGAGATGATCACATCGTCAGAGTGGCCCCGATCGCCATGGATCGGTCGTTGGACCGGCACTCGAAAAGTTTCGAGTTCCCCGCGAACGAAACAATCTGGTCGGTGGCGGTTTCTTCACTGCACTTGAGTGTTGGTATGGAGAAGAGAATCGAAATGTTCTCGACAGAGGGGAGCACGCAATCAATCGTCAGACTCCCTGGAGAGAACGTGTTTGTTCTCGAAAACGACGGAGATGACCGCTTGATCGTGGGAACCAATAAAGGCAACGTGCACACCGTTGACGTGCGTACGCAGAAAGCAGAATCGACGGTGAAAATTGGAGCCGCTCTGTCAAATATCAAAATTTCCAACAACCACATGGTAGCCAGCGCGTACGATCACAAACTCATGCTGTTTGATCGTCGAAGCACCGCTAAACACATGCATATTTTCGAAGCGCATCAAAACGACTGCAGACCCCATCTGAGTCTCCAGCTTCACGAAAGACTCAATATTGTGGCCGCGACGGGCAGCGATAACGTTATAAGGTTGTGGTCGCTCAAGGATTTCCAAATGGCCTCCACTATATCGGACGAGAAATTTGTTTCGACCGATGTACCACCGTGTTTTGTGATCGACGACTCCTGGGGACCTCCGTGCAGCGTCGCCGTGTTCAGTGGATCAGAACTAGCATGTTATACCTGAGCTGATGGACCTGATGGCGCTCTTGTAATATAGATGTCAACATCGATGCGGAAAGATTTGATAAATGCCTCCAACGTGAGAATTTTTTAGCGTAGAACTACGCTATAGCCCCCGGTAACGGGCACCAACTTCAATGGGGAGTATTGGGGGGCCAAAGCTCGAAAAAATTCGAATCTCGGAGATAGCATGCGTATGTGCTGGCGTCGTCTGCCAGAGGCTTACGCACTTTTTCTATGCGAGTCATCTGTGTAACAAACTTGTCGAGCTTATTTCTCTGAAACAGAGCGTTTGACAATGAAAATGGTGATGGCTGAATATGTCCGGCTGAGAATGAGGCACCGTTCATGCTAATCAATTTCCCCCTTATCTTGATTATTTCATAAAATACAGGCCAAGAAGTAGGCTCGTTCTCGCAGAACGTCGAAACGAAGACTCGGAGGTTAAAAAAACTGAGGGCAAGAAACCCTCAGCATACCTTGATTAGTCCTAATCAACTGTCCTGGAAACGCTATGTCCATTGATGGACCCAGAAATTCCCTCTTTCTGATTTTAAACATATATTTGGCGGAGAATCTCTCCTCCGCTAGGGATGGATCTATTTCTTCAGGATCGCCTCAGTTTTTGCTAAATAAATCGTTGAAACTTTCCTCAATTCTCCCTCCACCCTGCGACGATGTTGAAGACAGATAAAACCTACGGTTGAGGTTGTATAATGACTGCGGAAAACGATGTGCGCGCGTTCTCCATTTCATATGGACTCTCGTCGTTCATTCTAGCCTTGGCTACTAAATTCATGCGTTTCCTTTCCTCATTGGTCGATGTCAATGGCCGTGGAAGGACACCGGCGGAGAACCTTCTGACCAGCAAGATAAGGATGCCGGACTCCGTGAAGAAAAAAGAACGAGTTGCGCCTAATACACCGTAAGCCATAATCCCGACATAAGAAAACGAACAGTGTTCAGACAAGCGATACGAAGCAGATTCCCGTAACAAACAAGGGCGAGAAGTCGTAGTTCAGTTCAACCGAAGTGGTCCTCGGGAAATCACCGATCAGGCAGGACGCAACGTGGTGCTAAGAGAATCTAGCCACGGCGGGCCGTACGGCTTAGCGGACGATTGGGAGGGAAAGGTTCACCCAACGATAAACTTTTTAGACGGTGCTGTCGCCCTGTCGCAGCATTTTGAATGAATGAACGTGTGTCTATCGCGTTGGGACAAATCATTCCAGAATGAAGAGCTCTCTTTTCTGAGTGCCGCGCCCAGTGATGGAATCGAAAAGGAGGATAAGGGAAGCCATCCTTACAATGCCGAATCATGATCATTCTAAGGTTTCGACATTCCATTAAGAACCTCATTTTATTAGTCTTCAACTAATTCATCCCCATCATCGTCTAGATGCGGATGCGCGGCCTCGCGATACTCGAAAAATCCTCCATCGGACATGCAATGATTGTTCCTTGAGATCGGCAATATGACATCTCATCGAGAGAGCAGATCATGTAGCAGCGTTTCTCCTAGGCGGACATGGTCATGGAATCTAATGTACCTTTCATACGCATAGTCGCGATGTTCTTCAATCCTTATATCCTCCACGAGGAAGTGTGGCACTCGGTCACGTACCGGTTGCCGTCCGAATTGCGGGTTGCCAAGCTGAAAACGACGCCGCACTCTGTGCAGATATCGGACCGTATATCCGATTGAAGTTTGTCGGTTGAGTAATAAGTAGATTTTGATGTCATTCGTCAACATTTCTGAGTTTAGGAAAGCCGAAGTCTTCGAAGGTTGCTACCGACCGAATCCCGTTCCCGCAGTTGAGTTCTTTGATCTCGTTTCCCTCAAACTAAAAAAGCGCCTTTTGAACAACGGCCAGAGGAAATCTCGTGATACCCTTCGTCGACCGGAGGGTAGTATTGAAAATCTTTCGTAGATCTTCGAACTCACGGAACTACGTGTTCCGTGTTCACGTAGTTCTACGCCCACATACCGCCTGAGTCCCTGACTCGGGCACCCCGGGGATTTTTTTTGTTTTTCTTTGCAGCTATGAACATCACTCGCGCACAATTTCCATATTGTCAAGAAACAGAAAGAATCCTCTATGGATCCCTTGAATACGCAAGGTCGGTATTTATTCTGACTGAGCAGACTCCGATTTCACAATTTCAGTAATTTTCTCCCTATTCGATACCACAATGGTTTGGAATCAAAGATTAATCGGTCTCACATAATTAAAATTAGGACGCGAATCAGATCAGTCATTGCTCCAGATTCGCAATGACTCGCGCCCGTTTTGGGTGTTCGTCAGGATAAAAGCAGTAATATACTGTTCTTGTCCTAGCCTTAAACAAACTGTTGCGAGTCACTCGGCCGAGGTCTTGCGAAGCATTACTTCCTTCTCTCCCGACGGGAATATTCTTAACGAGTGAGCGAAAATTAATTGAAAAGTGCTATTGCTCGCCGTTGCAGGGACCAGCTAAGATTCCTAAGCATATCATACCGTTGTTCCTCTGGTAAAAATTCTCGACTGTGAGCTCTTCGATTGAGCACAAATCCACACCGTAGTAGGTTCCGAACATCTGAGATCCCGGTCCCTTAAAGTACTCCCGGCATGCGGCTTCGGTCGTTGCGAAATAATTCTCGAAGACGCCGTTCCCATGTGTATCGATAATTTTGAACTGCAGTAGCCTCCTCATGGGCCAGTTTGCCGAAAGGGTCAAATCTTCGCTCAAGCCAAGATAGAGCACAAGCATCTTCGAGCTCTCCGCTTCAGGGGTTTCGATCTGTACGTTCAATTTACAGGGGAAACCTCCGATGGCGAGCACTTGGTCGCTGGTAGCAGTCTGGCTGCGATTACGATTGAAGTCTCGGAGGAGCGATTTGATGTCGAACCATAGGAATGAACAACTGCTCTGGAGTCTAAAAAATTGTTGCCTCGCATGAGCTTTGAAGAGATTTCCGCTTCGAATAGCCGCCATCTGGAGATCAAGATTGTCGAGCCTGGTCGAAAGACCGGCATCAGGCCGCGTCAGGCTGCTGGCGGTTTCCAGTCTCTCCAGTCTCGTTTCAAGGGTGCTGAAGTGATCGAGTCGCGAATCCAGATAATCGATCCGGTCCACGGCTCTCTGCATGGTGACCTCCGAATCCTGTCTTTCTTCCCGTGTCGTATTTATGATGTCTTCTTTCATTCTGCTCACCTCGTGCGCGACATAGCTCTTGACAAGGAACTCAATCGATTTCGGCAATTCGATTTCATTGCGGGGAATTTTAGCCTTGACAATGCCGGACGCAGATGATGAGCTGGAGACCTGCGACGAGGTCGACGATGACGTGGAAGCCTGAGACGAATCCAGATCCAGAGACAATTGTTTTCGTCGCGTTCGTCTGCACGATCTTCGGTGCCTGCTTAAGTGATGCAAGTTACCTTCCTCACCACAGGGACATTCGAATCTGGCGATATACAACGCCGCTAATGGTGCCTCTTGCTTCGTTGCGAGACGAACTTCCATGCATACGGTGCATTCCACCCGAGGCTTCTCGAGCGAGTCATGGAAGACTAAACAGTTCTCACAGTGGATATGGCTACAATCCAATCGATAATATTTTACAAAAGTCAGGTCACACGATGAACATGTTCGAAAATGCGTTGCCAACGGGCAATCCTTCTGGGGCACCAGGTCGACGAAACCGCAGTTCAATTCACAGGGAAGGCCACGCAACCTCATCTGTGAAAGGATGGTCAAATAAGACAATATCAAGTCTGAAGACGATTTCCGATACGGATGAACTGAATGTCATTCAAGTCCCTCAGACTCCGGAAGGGATCTTTGCCCAGAGGCAGTTTTGTCGGATCACGTTCAAGGAGCTCTGAGTCATCAGAATCGAAGCCCATCTCGATCTCCTCCTCGAGTTGTATAGTTATATTTCTATACGGAATTTCTATACTCTAACTATACGGAACTTCTGCTCTTGAGATGTGGATACCGCGCGGAGAGCAGAATCGTCTCTCCTTGGATCGAGGAAGGGCCCGAAGGGATTTCCAAATTGTGGCTACTCCCCCCTCGTTCAATGATCCCGTTACATGATAGGAGACAAACGCTGAGCTCTCGATGGCTCCGCGAAAAATTATCGCACGCCGAGTTTCGCGCGGGGTCGCGGCTCTAGATTTTCGCGCATGGCGCGAGCAAATTAGACCGATCGCCATGTCAATCCCGTCGTTGTGAATTGCGAAACTCACGGAAAACTCCACTAGGGTCTCTACAATCCCTACCCGGATTCCTGCGCGGACTCACACCAGTGTGAGAACAGATCTGTCATGACTTCAGGCAACTCACCTTCGGCGTCTGTGATTCTCGATGGCCGATAGGGGAAGAAGCAGGGAATCTGCAATGGAAAAAGCATTGATCATTCAATCAGAATGAGCGATGGGAGTGGTAACCGCCCACGGATTCGTATTAATCCTAATATGTTTGCAGAAGCGAAACAGTTTCCAATGTTGCATCGTCATAACAACACGGTGATTTAGAAGAAAACACTACTTGCCAGCTTCTTTTGAATTCCTTCGTAAACAGCGAGGTAGAAGCGACGCGATTCAGGACAAAGTAAAATCGATTTCCGAGCTGCTAGAATCTGCCGTGAAAGTTTCAGCCGAGTCAAAGCTACACCGGGATCCGACAGCCTCTGGAAGTGTCCCTCGACGAGAATACAGCCCGCCTCCCCCTATCGCCGCGCAACAACAATCTACAGTGACTGCAGGCGCAGACGAACTTCTCTCTTCTCTGTCGAGCATTAAAGTGCCGGGGCTTTCGAAGTTCCTCGGCCGGGATCTCCGCGAGCGATTCGCTGACTTCCATCGCGAGCTGACGAAGAGTGATGATTTGCCCCTCGGCACTCTTCCGAACGTTGTTCTGGACGGGAATCCAGACAGACCGCAATGCTGGCACGCACCGTCAGTCGTCGAGTCTTCCGGCTAACTAAATAGTTTCGGGTTACGAGAATTCCGAACTTCCGAACAGCTCGCGTGAGTCGCATCGGAGCACACACCTCCCCCGGAAGACGCGAATTCCGCATCGAAGTTGGGACTACCGCGAAGGTGCTCAGATTTGAGTCCATCCTCGGGCGATGATATCACCGGCGGAAACGATCACGCACATCACAAAGCATCAGTCCGAAAGTCCCAACCAATCGGTAAGCGGAGAGCTGAGCTCTGGCTCCTCTCTACTCATGTCTGACGAAGAGCAGGTCCCATGACGATGCGCGGAGGAGATGTCGATTCTCTCACTCTCTCACCGGGTGGGAGGGAGCGGATTCGGCTGTCAATTCGTTCTGACCGCTTCGATGGTACACATACATATCGGATCGCGAATCGTCTCGGGCGCCCTCCGGGACTTCTTATACCCCGATTCCGAGTATCGCTCTTTGAGGGATGACTTGCCTCAGCCGAAGAGGTTTTGCATCCGCTTATTCATGCTACATGTGTATAGAAGTTGTATGTTTCGCGCGCAGCTCTAATAGTGCGTGCATCATGAAGTGCGTCCCAACGTTCCCTCGACACGACCGGGCATTTCTCAGATCTCTGTGAGGTCGACAGGAAGCGCCCTTCAGCTGGAATGATCGGCCGGAGCGACTAATCAGTGAACTTCGCCGGTAGTACCACGATCCCAGTGTTCGAAGCGACTTGAAACTCACGAAGCTCTACCAAAACATGTTTTTTGCGAGCAGTCTGGCGGAGCCCCAAGCATACGTAGCCCCCATTGAGCCCGCATGTTTCGATGCCCTCGGTGGATCTCAAAGCAAGACCCGGATGATGAATCAACAACTAAGGCAGCAGACGCCACTCACCTGTCGCTTGCTCAGATTCAGCTTGGATACGAGCCAGCATCCCAAGTGGAGCTCGAGAGAACTCGGAAATCCTCAGCGAGTGAATTGCTCCATCTCATGGGAAATGTGGAAGGCAGAAGTCCAGCTGTCTGGCCGGTGCCTGTCTACTGGGTGTCCCGGCTCTAGAGAGGGGCGGCCGTATTGGTGAAGGCCGCTGATCGATGCCCGTGAAGAGCTCAAATCCGGATATCCTCGGGATGATAAATCCGAAAGATCTCAAAATGCTATCTTCAGCGTACAGAGCTCTCGAAGAGATAGAGACCGAGGATCCCTGGGATGAGAGTGATGAGAGACCCGGGCTTTCATGGAGTTCTAACCTAACATGGAGTTCTAGCCGATCAGAAAGAGATGCCTCACTCGCTCGGACTTTCTCTGCCGTGAATATCGAAATTATTCTGGGACTATCGTTCGTAAAGAACGGGACCGGAAAGGGGGACGAGCTGACAGAGACACATTCAGGGACGAGCGGTCTCCTCTGGATGAACCCACGAATAATTGCAAAAGCGAGATTCCCGCCAGAGGTTCCTCACCTGTGCAGACGAGAAGCCAGACGTCCAAAGCGTGGACATAGGGAACTTTCGGAAGTTTTTCGCGGATTGATTTCCCAGATGTCACCTTCGTGAGCATACTCGTGATTGAGAGAGATATCCGCGCCGGAGCCGAAGTAATCTACAATATCGAATTTCTTCGACTGAGTTCTTCGGCAGAAGGTCCCCGACTTCCAAACTACTACGCTCGATCATGAAAGGCGGAATGACCGGGAGCACGGCCGCGGAAGTAGGTACCTCCATCCACAAGGAGATCCAAGAGGTTATGACGAAAAGGACTCCAGGGATGTAAATATCCGAGAGGAATGGACCGAACTGCCTGGCCAACACGAACTCCGATGTCACGATTGAGAAATTCCCTGAGGGAAAGAGAAGAAAGACTTGGAGCTAACTGTTATGCAAGGCAATAGGAGGACGGGAATTCCGGAACCCCACGATAGCGATGATTGATAAAGGCTCGCGATTCCGTGTTGCTCACCCACTAAGCGATGGTTGATCCCTTCGTAGGTCGAGTAGTTCTGAACTAAGAAACCCTTAGCATGTGACGGGTCCGCTAGCAATAAGCCCGGCCGTTCTGACCACTGAATTCTGAGGTGCGATATGGGCAGAGAGGATTCGCGCCGTCAGCGGCGGCGTTTATCAATGGCGAACCCCTCTCCGAACAGTTATCTGGCCACGGAGGGCGCGGCGGTCTCTGTCAGGTGGCTGTCAGCGTAGCTGTCAGTGGCCGAGGCAGTGACGTCATGCGCCAGTCGCGATCTCAACGTTGACTGGGACCGATCACGCTCGGTTCCCAGCATCAGTTTCTCGGAACTCAGAGTTCAAATCCCTAGTTCGAGTTCGCACAGGATAGGCCTGGGTCACGCCCCGCTATCCTGATTCATCCCCCAAGTGCGCACAGACCTGGGGTCCATTTCTAGTGAATTCCTTCGTGTCCTCATTGGAAGTGTTTTCGAGGCTGTGTCACACTTACTCTCTCTGGTAGGTTCTCCGTTTCTCAAAGATGGTCTTCTGCATGCAGGTACTGTCGCGATGCTCCTCTCTAATCTGGGGAAAAAGCTCCCGTTCCCAGCTAGATCTAGACAGACTCGATTTTTCGGAGCTGGATAATTCTGGACTAGGTAGTTCGTTCTGACGGTTCCGGAGCTGTCGAACACGACATCGAAAACCGGCTGATTCCCACGGGAGGGATCCCCGTCGGTACGGGAATCAATTCCTCCCGAGGACCTTTCAACGGTCCGTTTCCCGTTGGGGCTATGGTCGGTGCTCCTGTCGCTCACGAGACGTGTGTCCTGCGGTATCGAGAGTGGAGCCGCGCTGAATATACGGCTTTCGCGAAAGCTACCCTCATAACCGGAAGGCATAGTAGAACGTGGCTCGCTGTCCGGACC